ATTTTCACGGTGGTGGTAATATTTTTGTTATTTCCTAAATTGAGTTTTATTAAGGGTAAAAAGGGTATTCTTATAAAAGGAGGAAATTTCTAAGATATTACACAGCCGTATCCTAGGTATTAAATTTAGTTGGGTTGTATTTAATGGGATGTGATTACAGTGGCAGATCTAGCAATTGTTATGGGTGGTTTCAAATTAATATGAAACAAATTATATTAAAATTATTTATAAATTAACAAATCAAGTGAAAAAATCTTAGATAAATTGTTAAGATTGTATATTGTATCGTAGACTTTGAGTATATTTTCCAAAAAAGATGCATTATTAATGGGTAAAAAATAAGTGCAACTTCATATACGTTGTATTTACTTTTCAATAAAGTTATTGGTGATGGGTTTATGAAGAAAAAAATTACAAAATATGCACATACATGAGAGGATTTTTTTTAAAAAAATCATATAATATGGCAAATTCATGACAAGATGTTAATAGTATTCTAAAGTTTTGTAAGTTGAAAATAAATTAAAGAGAAATTTGTGTATCAAGTGTATGTGTTAAATATGACTTTATATATGAATACTGTATCGTTTATTAGAAAAATCATTTTATTATTTCAAAATTAATAAATCGATAAATTAAACTATGGGCTAAGATAATAAATAACGTGTCATATGATAAAATTGATTGGAAATAATACTTGTCCCAAAATATATGATACAGTCAACTTTGCACACATGTCAATGCACTAGTTTGACTTTATTTTTATATGATTAAATGTTAATGAAAATTATTTTTAAAATTATATATGAAACTTTATATTAATACCTATCTCACAACATAATTTATGATAAAATATATTTTTATTATGTTATTAAAAAATTATAGTCAAAGTTAATACATGAATAGTGAAAAAAGTCCAACTTCCCAGATATTTTGGGACGGAGGGAATAATATTTTGATATATTTCCCTATTTAAATTCATCATTCTTTATATCTTCTTAATAATGATGTAAAAGTTTATATCTTCTTAAGAATGTACCTAAAAGTAATATGTTGGTTATTTAGGTTATAAAATAGTTTATAGGAAGATTTGGCAAAAAAAAAAAAAAAAAAAAAAAAAAAAAAGGAAATAGTTTGGCGGAAAAAAATTTTAACCAAGAAGTTTAGAGAATAGTTATTAATTTAATAATAAATCATTTATTAATTATTAAGCTTTTAAATATTTGTAAAATAAGTGAGGTCAATTGACCCATTACTTTGAAATTGGATCCACCCCTGTGTGATTAGCATTATTAAACATAGATAAGTTAAAGTCCAAAGTCACTCTTGTTTGTCTAAATATTGTGGGAAAGGTGTTGTGTTTATTGATTCTATTGTATGGTACAAAAACATAACAGTAAGATAAGAGCAAGATGTGTCAATATCGTCACCATGATTAGGATTATCGGGTTATAATATAACAATGGTGGGCGGGTACTGAAAGCGTTTCCTAGGAGGATCCGTGGGGGTCTTCTTTGATTGGGCACAGTATTAAAAGCATAGTTATTCGGACTCGACAGATTTCCGGCCATACCCGTGTCAACACGACACGACACGGACAGGGGAGTGAATCCGTGTTTCAGATCTGGCATATTGCTCTCGGATACGGTGGTTGTCAATGTGTAGACACCTGATTGTGTCTCCCCAAAAACCAAACTCAGTGATGAGTACCTTTCACGTCTTTGATTATCGAGTTTGTTGAAGAGTTGAAGAGTCTCGTGAATTTCCCTTTAGCCTTAACCATTTCTAACATTTTCTAAAATGTTTTAAGCCAAAATCATTTATTTCGTGCCTTTAAACCCCAAATCATTCATTTCGTGTCTTTGAAAATCATTCATTTTGTGTCCAAACCTTAAAAATTTCCAAATCAGTTTATTTTTGTCCATAATCCTGGTCCAATTATTTTGTAGTTGCATGAGATTTGAAAAGAGCTTTCCAACGATATATTATAAGCCCAAATCCGACTTATAACGAAGAAGTTATGGCCAAAATACTAAACCGAGCCCAAACCGAACCTTACCTGTGACCCAATGACCATGTGAAGGGTCCATTAACCTTAAACATCATTCCTAAATCCCTTAGGATTTATTATTAGCTTTTAGTATCCTATAGAAGGTTCTAATTTATCCTGTTTTTGAAAAGATAAAGATTAAAAAATTTTACTTCGGATAAAACACTTGTTTTTCAATGATTTTAATTCTGATAAAATTAGAATAAGTACGAATATTCGATTAACCCAATTTGATTGAAAGTCGGATTCCATACGGATTCTATCTTCTAGAAATACCGTGTCGCGATAGCGCCTGTTTTACTTTGAGTTAAATTCCGACTCTTTTCTAATCCTTAGACCCACTTTTTGCCTTATAAATAAAGGTCGTTTCACCCCGTTTTCAATCAACAACAAGCTTGATCACCAACAATCATCATCTAATCCTCTCTAAGCTAAAAGCTTCTCTCTCTCTCTTTCTTATTTTCTTAGCTTAGCCTAAACACATCCCAACACCTTCTTGATATCACACATCATACCTCCTTCACGAGCTTCGAATACTCCAAGCCCTTCTTGAAGTTGCCTTCGACCTCGACGTGAAAGGTTGATAGTTCTGAGGGTTTGATCCCAAATCTATATTTCAATTCTTATTTGATTTAATCTTTCTTGAAATTACTAACGTGTGTATTGTTTTGATAGAAAGAGATACGAGGCATCAAAGTAAGTAATTTGATTACTTATTTATTCCTTTGATATAGAAATCATGCTTAGAATATTATTTTAATTTCCTAATATCATGTTAGGAGGCTTTTGTGATTTCTAGTATCATGTTAGCATGTTGATTTTGGTTCCTAGTATCATGTTTAGGGTGTTAATTAATATTTCTAATATCATGTTCCTAGTATCATGTTTAGGGTAAGATTTGATCTTTATTGTTAGTGACATGCTAGGATTTGTTATTAATCCGTTTAGTATCATGCCTAGGATCTTGCTAGTTATGATATTATTATGATGATAATTGTTGTGTCAATTATACATTGCTTGATTATTTCATCATTAATTGTCATTGCTTGACCACGCCTCCTTTCTGCAGGTTTAAAGGGAATTTGTATTTGAAATCACGCCTAATAAGATAATTACTAATTTGATTTAGGTAAATTTGATTTTAATTCAAGTGATTGCCAATAATAGATTTATTTGTGCATTAATAATCAACCAATGTAGATTAAACAGGTTTAGGGCTAATTTGTTGTATGTTTGTTGATCGCAAAGCGCACATGAATATCATAAGAATTAAGTAGAGGCCGATTTAGGGCGGGTTCAATCTCTTTTAGGTTAGATTCGTTCCATCATCCCCGAATATCCAGTCATGGTTCCGGACCACTATGGAGTTAGCGATCTTCGTGATCGTGAATGGGGTGTAACCTTCACACCCGTGAATGGTTTACAAGTTCCTAGCTTCTTTCCCTTTGGACGCCACCATGCTTAAGTGCATGATTACAGTGGGGCTCAAAGTTGATGTTTGAAATATTCCCTACACAATGGTTGCCTAAGAAATTAAAGAGTAGCAGAGAGGAGATCACGTGAGGATGAGGAGAGAGAACATGTGTATAATAATGAGGGTTGAAAAGTCAAAGTTATGTTAAAGGAAGATTTTTTTATTTTTTTTTTTTGAATAAAGATTGATTTATAAATAAAAAGTTATACAACATTTACAAAGAGATTTAAACCTAACAAATACTTGACAATTGAATCAAATAAAAACATCATTTCAGCAGAGCTACGATTGTTGTTGCAAATCGTACATTGTTCATATGCCCTCTTTCATATCGCTGTGAATTACAGCCTTCTTTGACAAGTGGGTCTATCGATCTATTGTAGTCGTGAAGAAAATTTTCGTCTGATTCATCTGACTGTAATCGAAGGATTAACCTCTTTCTCGATCTCGCACAAATCTTTACTCGTGAAACAACTTGTACCATATTAAACTCAAAAACCAAAAACAAAACTAGAACAAAGCCCACCATAGAGACACTTACTACACTCAAACCCACTAAAGGGTACTTAATACCTTCAAAGAGTGTAGATTTATTGAATTCATCAATAACAAAAATACAAAGAAACTAATGGGAAAGGGTCGGAAATAGCCAAATTTTTGAAGAAATTTGACTATGTTCGGTGTATGAAACAGGTTTTTTAAAGAACCCTAGAGAGAGAAAAAAATAGAGAGGAGACAGCTAGGGTTTTATTTTTACATAGATTCTTCTAGATGTAAGTTGTTTCCCCCCCCCCCCCCTTAGTGTGGTCATTTTAGGTGTTTTTGTATTTCTTTTTTTATTTATTTTTTATTGAAGTGAAATAGAGAGTATGAGTTGTCTCTTGTCAGTCCTATCTTTATTTATACATCTGTTTTCTTTTATCTTTATCTTTTTACCTTTTAAAATTACTCCTATCATTTCTACTTTTTGGTCCATCCTTCTCTAAAAAAAGACGTTTTATATGGCTCACAAGTAAAGGTAATAAAAAAATCGGGTCGGGTCGGGCCTTAACATTATATATCGTGCCCAAACTCGCAAAAAAGTAGAGGGCTTATCTGGCCAAAGCGGGCTTATTGGGTTTTATTCGGGCTAGGTTCGGGTTTTTAACTAATAATGCATATTTAGGCTTGTCCAAATCCGCCCTACTTTTGAACTATATCGGGCCGGACCAGTGTTGATCACCTCTACTCAAAAGTCACAAATCTATACCAACTTGGTCTTAGCATCTAAGCGTAAAGGTATGTAAACTATTACTCCACAATACTAAATTAATAATACCAATATCAATATAATAGCTTATAAAAATAATTAGTAACAATACTAAGTATATTACAATTATAATATAGTATGGAGTAATATTTATTTAATATTTATTTAATTGTCGTGTCCCCGCACTTGTGTCCAAATATTAGACAGTCCCGGTAGACACCTTAAAATGTCTCCCCAAAACCAAACCCGATGATGAACAACCTTTCCCCGCCATTATTGGACGGGTCGCGTATTTAATCTCGGGAGTGCTTAAAACCCATATTCAGTCAAACATATTCAATCTACAAATCAGTCCAAACATTTACTCAAACTCAGTTAAACCCATATTTCAACCCAAACCATTTTAATTCATTTCGTTTTATGTATTAATTAAGCCCGATTAGTAAATAATATAACCCTAAGCCTGAAATAAGTTCGGAACAGCTGAAACGACGCCTAATTATCACGTGCTTAATGCTTAAGAAAAAGATAAAATGAATTTAAACCGAATTCAGGAAAACTGATTTGCCGTGCCACGGCAAAAATGCCGCCTCACGGCATGTTTTGCCGCGTCACGGCACTACTACATTTTTAATCAAATGCAACGGCTAAAAACGAGCTATTGCAACGGCTCATTTTATTTCCGTTGCATTAGATAAGCCTAATACAACGACATAAACTTTGTACATCAATAGGTGGAGCTAACGCAACGGCTTTAAGAAGCCGTTGCATTAGGTGTACTAATACAAACCTGAAAGGCTATTGCCACGGCAGACCGGTGTGAATACTATGAAAAAAAAACGGAAATATCTTCTTTCTCTTTCCGCGAAATCTCCTCCTCTCTCACAGTCTCACTTACCTTAGCTTCTATCTCCTCTTCATTCTCCTTCATCTTCTATGAGGGCTGCGATTTTGAGCCGATTTTGAGCAGCCGCGACTTTCCCAGTCACCGTCATCCTCACCGAAGCTGCTTCGAGGTTCTCATGATCCACTATCACCCTCACGCTTCACCTGCTCTCCACGGCTCCACCACTATCGTCTCTCTTCGCCGTCGCATTCTTCTCCGCTCCTCGAAATCTTTCCTTTATCAATGTCTTCTGCATAGATCTGGTCTAAGTAATCTCTCTTTCTTTATTTTAAAGATTCAATTTGAATTGAACAAGTTTGAAATTCTAGGGTTAATTTGATGAAGACAATTGTGTTATTTATAGTTATTACATTTTAATGTTGATTATTGTTCATAACAATCGTGCTATCTAAGTACGGAGTAGTCAATTTGTAGCATTTTTCTCCGTTCTTTCTCAAATACCAACTTCGCTTTTCAGTCTGAATGGCGAAATTACTCCCTCGAAGAAGCTATTTCGTTTGTTGGGCGAAATGTGACTGTCATTGTTTGTATAGTTAGTGAACCTTACTTTGATTTTTTGAACAATTGGTTAATTAGTGTACATCAAGATAAAATTTTGGTGATTACTGAAGATTATAACACTTCGTATCGGGTTAATCAAAGGTGGTCTGGTCATGCTGTGCTAATTCCTCCAGTTCTTGAATCTAATTCTGCCCATAAATTTGGTTCCTTGGTATGATTTTTCTTGCCATATTTTTTTCAATTTAATTTATCATATTGCTGTTGATTACTATTGCTATTGGTTTTTTTTTGTTTTTTAAGGTTTTGATATGATTTAGGTGTTTGATCTTATGTGAACTTGTTATTTATAAGGGCTAGTGTGTTAGTAAATAGTTTGTGAGATTGTGATGTTAGTTGTCGTCATGCGTGTTTTTTTATTGTGAAAATGTTGTTATAATTTCATCTTCCGGACTACCATGAGATTATTGAGAATCCCATGGATTTTGAAACAGTGAGAAAGAAACTCTTGGGTGGCTTATATGTGATTTTGCAGCAGCTTGAGGTTAGTTGAATGGTTTTAAGGTTCTTTTGAGACTTTGTACTACAAGAATTCTTCTTATCATAGCTAATAACTACGCCTTAGATGGTTCATTTTCAGCATATTATTTTGGCCGGGTTGAACTTTCTGAATTGTTTATCTGTCTCCTGATAAGGAATTTGAAAATGAATTAGTCTTACTGTATTTAGAGGTTTTAATTGGCATACAATTTAACACCGTCTTATTGAAGCAAGAAGCATTAAAGTGAACATCTGTTATTGCATGTGTTGTTTATGGGAAGAATATGCTGCATTTAGTTGGTGTTTAGTGTTGTTCTGAGATGTTCGCCTTAAATTGATCAACCTTTTCACATTTGTTTATGGGTAGAAGAAGAAGCCCACATTTAGGCCCAATCTACTTTGGACCCTTTCTAATCCATCACTGTTATTCTAATTGCATCCCTTTCTGCTAAAACTGCAATCCTTGCCTTCTGACTCCTGATATGTAGTTGCTGTACAGGGGAGGGCATCTGTATCGTTTAATTTAATTTTCTCTATCTTCTTTCAAGTTAAATCTTAGTGGGGGCAGGGTGAGCAGGGATCCTTTTTTCTGTACTACATATGCACAACCTGAGGCATGATGTTTTATCATATTAGCTTCTAGATGAGTTAATCTCTGTTCCTTGTGCCTTGCTGAGTTTGATGCTGATGCTTTGGCATGATATACGATGTGTTTGCCTGATTTATAATAGTCTGATAGAGTAAGAAAATATTGCTTTTTTTTTTTTGTTCTATTGATCATGGCTGCATTGATTTGTATTCAAGGATTTATTGCCAGCCACTGGTTAGTGGTTACTAAGCTCTTGAATTTCTATACAGGACGACATAAATTTAATATGTTCATAAATTTCTTTACTGGTTACCTGTCTTAGTGCACATAATTTTTCTTAAGAAATGCAAATGAGCATTTTTACTATCGCTTTATGAACAATGTGCTAAGTGGGGAGTTTATGCAGAGCTACTAAATACTGAATAACGTGGCTTTTAGTTCATTTCATTGTCTGGGTTATATTTTCTTAATCTTTTTAGTTCTTACGTTTCCGTGCATTTTCTTTTACGTGAGCTCCCATGCAGCTAAAAGGTAAATTCTTGAACATTTGAGTAAACGTGGTTGAACCAATTTCATGTGGAATTTGATGTAATAATATCTGTTTGTGTTTTCTGTTTTCAATGCGGTTATTTAAAAAAACTAATGATTGTTTTTTATAGGCTTTGGTCATTGCTCATCGACATGATACAATTGTGATGGCTGGGAGAGTACTGTTTGTAGAAGCTGGTAGGCTGCACGACATTGAGTAGACGACTAAGGATAAAAGGGGCCAATTACAGAATTTCAACAAATTATGAAGAAATACCTGCTTAAGTTTTTCATACTATTAGCTCTAAACTTATGTCAAAATTATGTTTTAAGGAATATACATGTAGTTATAGGTGTTATTTGAACTTGTAATTTTTTTAAGTGTGACATTATATTTATGTACTCTTAATTTTTAAATTCAATAAAATTTTCCTTTATTTTGTCATATCTAAATTGATTTATATACATATATACTGGTTCATGTATAATAATTATAAAAATAATAATAATTATAATATATAGTCTCTGTCTGGGAATTAGGTCTCAATATTATGTTGTTTTTAGGTATTAATCTAATGCGACGGATAAATGATGTCGTTACATTAGGTATTAAGCTAATGCGATGAATTAATGTTACCGTTGCATTAGGTGTCAAATGCCGTTGCATTAGGCCTATTGCAACGCCAGCAGATGCCACGGTACATGGCCGTTGCATTAGGTTTTATACAACGGATTTTGATACCTAATGCAATGGATTTAGGGGTTGCAATAGATCAAAAATGTAGTAGTGGCGCGTCAAACTGCGCCGCGTCACAGCAAGCTGTACCGTGTCACGACAATTTCGGTCGTGACACGGCAGATTTCTAGGGTTTCTCCGCGGCGCATATCATTTTCTAGGGTTTCGTACATCACCCTGCTCATTTCCTCTATAAATACGAGGCTGATTTCACCAGTTTTGGGGGACCAAAACATTCTCTCTTTCCCTCTTATACACCAAATCATTCTCTCTTCTCTCTCTTATGCTCTAACCTAAACACTAGCTTCCTTATTATTTCACAATATATCCCCTAAGCACTCCCCGGAGTCCATGCTTAACCCAAAGTTCCGCACTTAAACCAAGGCGTGAAAGGTAGAACTTTTTGAGGGTTTGGCCCAAATCAACTCTACTTTCATTTGAATTAATTTCCATTATTATTATTATTTTTCCTTGAAGTTACTAACGCGTTTATTATTTTGTAGTTGCAAGCAAATGCAATTAAAGTAAGGAACCATGTTCCTTTTGTTTCTCTTATATTTCTAACGATTTTTATTATGATTGTCATATATTAAATGTTGGATTAATGGTTGAATTGCTTCCAATATTGATGTTATTCCATTGTTTTATTGTTGATCACTATATTGCATGTTTAAAGGGAATATATAATTGAATATAACGCCTAATAAGATAATTTGGATAACCGGTTTAGGTTCCTTTTTAATCTTGTTGTTTAATCAAGTGATCACAATATTTTAGAATTATATGTTGCATTAACATTCAACCAATTTAGCCTAATTTAATTTGGAGCAAATTGAATCTTTGTTTGTGTGCCTTTGAGATTGCAGGAATACTTTTCACAATAAGAATCGAGCAGAGGCCAATACGGGCGAATGTAACTCCATGACTCACTTCGTACCATCATCCCCGATCCTCCTTTAGTGGTTCCGAACCATATGAAGTTAGTAATCTCATGGATTATGAATGGGTTGTAACCTTCACGGGTCAATCGTTGTTGCCTATCGTTGTCCCTTTTCATGGTTGTCTTAAATGATCCGTGAACGGTTTACAAGTTCCTTAAAAACTTATTGGCAGCTCCCTACTTTGCTTTTTCCCTAATCGTGTGTCAATTCCACATCCTAAGAGTACCAAGCATATTCACAGCATGCTTAACGTAGCGCGCTTCGAATGACGTCTGCAGTACAGTCCCCGTGTTCTAAATTTTTTAACTTGTCGTACCGAATACTCGGATACGTACCTGTATCTAATCCTTCTCGCCGAGTCCAGGTAACTATGATTTCCCTGCCCTTAAGCCTATGCCTGAGTGCACTTTGGTGCACTTCATTGAAGTGAAGCGCACTAGAAAAAAGTGAAATTATTTATTTAGTGGTTTTTTTCCTGTGCCTCATTTAGCTTTTGTTGCAGTTCATCAAAGTTACCTATAAAATATCTTGAATCAAAAGCAAGCGTGATGGATTCAAACAAAGCAACTAGAGTTAACCGAACTCAAACCAATTCAAACAAAGCATTTTGAATAAAAAAAACTAGTCAAACGAATTTAAACATTGATTTTGAATAAAAAGGAAGTAAAACGTATTTAAAAAAAGCTTCCTGATTCAAATAATGGAAGTAAAAATGATTCAAACAAATCATTTTGATTCAAGTATAATTCAAACGGATTCGATCAAAGCAACTCCAATTAAATGTAAGTGAAACATATTCAAACAAAGCTTCTTGATTCAAATGGAAGTAAAACGGATTCAAATAAATTATTTTGATTCAAGTAGAATTCAAACGGATTCGATCAAAGAAACTCCAATCAAACGTAAGTGAAACACATCAAACAACGCAATTGAATCAAAATGAAGTGAATAAAATTCAAACAAAGTATCTTGAATCAAAAGCAAGTGTGATAAATTCAAACAAAGCAACTAGAGTCAAACTAAAGTCAAACCTATTCAAACAAAACATTTTGAATCAAAAACTAGTCAAACGGATTCAAACAATCATTTTGAATGAAAAGGAAATGAAACGTATCCAAAAAAAAGCTTCTTGATTCAAATGGAAGTAAAATGGATTCAAACAAATCATTTTGATTCCAGTAGAAGTCAAACGGATTTGAACAAAGAAACTCCAATGAAACGGAAGTGAAACACATTCAAACAAAGCAATTAAATCAAAAGGAATTAAAACGAATTCAAGCAAAGTATCTTGAATCAAAAGCAAGTCTGATGGATTTAAACAAAGCAACTAGAGTCAAACGGAAGTCAAAGCATTTTATCCGGTTAATTTTGTTTATTTTATGATCGTAACATATATAGTATATAAGCATATAGTTTACAAAATAAGAATACAAACCAAAGATTAAACTCATTATAACTCTAGCACATACTATTGTACAATAGAAGATAGAGAAAACTTCGCTAACGGAATCACTTTATTACACGTACTTATTATTCACATTGCACTGCACACACATCTCTATTATATAAGCCAAAACATGAGGTCATGGTACCATATAAAAAGACAATTCTACCCCTTTTGCTTCAAATAATTACCAGTACATTTTCTAAATAAGCCAAACCTGAGATAAATAATGTAGTAAACAAAATCATCATATATAAAAACATTCCTAACGTAATTTACAAATAATCAATGCAAATGATAATTAAAAATCAATCTAAAATCACGTTTAGCTACAAACACGAAAATTTTCCAAAAAAAAAAAAAACCGACAATATTATACCAAGAGAACTAGAACTGTTCTTGCAATCTTACTACATAGCGAAAATTTAAGTTTCAATTATGCATCAAATACTATACATATACAGTTCATAGCACCAATGAAAAATTGGCGCTTTGTACATTTAACAATCGATACGCAGTTTATTTATCTTCCTCTATGATTAAACACATGCTTTCTATCCTTGTAAAGTAGCTTGCAACCCGTCCCAGTCACCATTTTCCTAGAATGAGCAGGTTCTACTTATTGGTTTTTTCATCGCATATATAAGACTAGAAGGATAATAACTAAGGGTTCGTTTGCCATCGTTTGACTTTCTGTTTTGGAAAATTTGTAATTATTAAGTCAACATTTTGGACGTCCGCTTTTATTACGTCAACCTTTTGATTATTTTTAAACACGTCAACCTTGTATTACCACTAATTTTTATTACGTTAAAATATAAAATGATTTGCAAAAGCAAGTTAATTGCTTACGTGGAGTATTAGGTGGAGGTAAAAAGGCTGATGTAATTTTCCAAAAAAGGAAAACATGTAAATAATAAGTCAACCTTTTGATTGTTCGCTTTTATTATGTCAATCTTTTGATTATTTTTTAACACGTTAATCTTATAATATCATTATTTTCTTACGTTTGAATTTTTTTTTTCAAAAAAAAAAAAGACGAATGTTGTTTGAATTTTTTTTTTTTTTTTTTTTGATACAACGTACGCATTTGTGTACCTGAACCTCACAAAGAATAATTATGAGCCTTAAAGTGGCACATATGTGCCTTCTTCAATCATGGATTTTTTTTTATTCAATCTCTTGCTAACCTTCATTGTATATAATATATTAATAATAATCTAAAACTATGATTTCTCACAAATCAAGGGTCATGATTTCTCACAAATTTAGTATCTTGATCAAACTTGACTTGATTGAGTGGTCAGAACCCTTCCGAAGCCTCTTCTACCACTTACCTGCAAATTTTTTTTTTCCTTAACCCATCATCCAATTTCAACCCAGGCACTAAGTATGAAATTTCATCTACATTGTTGTAACCACCACACTTCTTAGCCAAGTCAACCACATTAAAATAACTCATCTCATCAGGATCAAGGTCAAATGTTTTACGTTTTTCTCCAAAATACACCAACTGTCCATTATCCATCACTTTAAACTGACCACCATGCCAAAACCTTAATGCCACAATATCAAGTATTTGGTCCACCATTTTCACCTAAATTGATATTTATAATATTCAAAATTAGATTAATTAAATAAAAATTAACACACAATTAATATTACTTGGTTGAATTCCCTTAATTTCACATCACAAATTACAATCGTGTAGTAATAATCCCTAATTCCCAATTTCCCCCCAATTTCAAAAATCCCTAGCTACTCCCTATTTTTTGCAATTTAAATAACCAATCACCATAAAATACCAACAATTACACCAATTACACATCAAACGCACAAAATAGGAGATTTAATTTCGCAAACTAACCTTAAAATTTGCCCAATTATACTCGAAACATCTTCTACTGCATTCACCACCTGGAGTATGGAGTGGGTTTTAATTAATGGAGTTTAAAGAGAAAAGAAGAATATAAGGTGATTAAAGGAATGAAGATAAATTAAAGGAAGAATTGTATAGTATTGTGTTCAATGGAGTAGTAGTATGATGATGAAAGGAAGATGGTGAAAAAGGAGGAACCGTGAGTTTGCAAAATTGGAGTATAGTATTAGTCTTTTTTTTTTTTTAGTAAAATTGGATTATAGTCTTGATGAGTTGGCATCATAAAATGACAATTTTTATTTTTTTGTAGGGGTTAAAATGGCAAGTCAGATTTTCCATCCCACAAGTTCAAACAATATTAAGGGTTTATCAGGTAACCAGTAAAATACGTAATATAAATTAATGGTACTATAAGGTTGACGTGTTTAGAAATAATCAAAAGGATGACGTAATAAAAGCAGACGGCCAAAAGGTTGACTTAATGTTTACAAATTTTCCTTCTATTTTTTGATTTTTTGTTTGTCAAACTCATATGATATATGTCATATAATGAAAAAAAAATGAGTCAAACTTATTAAAATCATGATAATTTTGAAAACTGACAAAATAAAAGTAGAAACACCTTTTTCTTGTTTCCTATTATTGGTTTTTTGTTTTATTTTTTTTTTTTTAAAAAAAAAGTGCAAACATAAAACGATGTCAAACAAGCCATAAGAATAAGTGCCAAGTTCTTGAGCCAAAAAAAAAAAAAAAGGGTATAAAAGCTTTAAACAAAGACTCAAAAATTGAGGCGATATTTAGGAATAAGTGCCAAGTTCTTTGCCATGGACATGACAAGGCCAAACTTTTCTTGCATGACTAAATTGTTGAAAGAAGTATTATCAGGCATATGCCAATCAAAGGAATGCACCAATGTAGACAATATTAGCTTAACATTTAGTAGACCAAGTTGCGTACCAGGACACCTCCTTCGACCAAATCCAAACGGTGCAAGGCGAAAATCTTGTCCACTAATTATATCAACATCGTTAACCAAAAATCTTTTCGGATGAAATTCTTCACAATTATTTGACCATATAGTTGGGTCTCTACCAATAGCCCATGCATTCATGAAAATTCGTGAGCCTTTGGGAATATAATACCCATCGAATGTAATTTCTTGCATGGCTTCATGTGGAGCAAAAATGATTGGATATAGGCGAAAGATTTCTTTAATAACTAGGTCCAAGTATTTGAACTTTGGCACATCTTTCTCCTGCACCATTTTATTTTTCCCTACTACACTTTCTATCTCTTGTTGCAATTTCCTCATTTTCTCTGGATGCTTTAAAAGAGATGCAAGTGCCCACTTAACTATGTTGGTAGCACTATCAATTGCTGGCACAACTAGGTCTATTAATATGGCTTTTATACCATCCCTCTCAATGCCATATGATGCTTTGGTATCGTTGTTGTTCATCAATGACAACATTACATCTACCAAATCTCTGTGAGTTCGTTGCTCCTTTTTTGCTTCATCTTCATGGTTGCTGATGATTTTCTCCAAAACATCATCCACAGTCTTCATAATTTTTTTGATGCGCCTTTTCAGCCCCTGATAATTCCATTATAGTTAATATAGTTAATGCCCCAAGCTGTTCTTGATTTATTTAACTTGTATAGGAAAACATGGGCATCTACTTATTATAGTACTGGTAATAATTAAAATATAATTTGATTTATAATTAGCATTATTTACAAAAGCTCTACTATTTCTAATGCATTAATTAATTGTTTCCAAATGTGTAAGATTTCAATATAACAATTGTCGTGTTATCATAGTAGAATTATATTTTATCTTATATTATATGTAATTTTTTAGTTTTGACTTCTATTGTAGATGTATGATTTTGATTTAATAAATTAGTTAACTTTAATTAGTTTACAAAATATGAGGTGGATAAAATTTAACCATTTCTTAGTTTAGAGACTACATGTATATATTTTTAAATTAACCAGTAAAACATTGATTGCATATAGTGTTTGATCCTATGTAACAACAATTAGGAGCGGACTGAAACTTAACTACCAAGAACTAATCCCCGAATCCAGATTAGCCAAAAGAATGAACTGGATATGGAACACTAAAAAAAAAAAAACACACACACACAATGCTTGAAACAAACCTGGGGATCAAATGGTGCAAGGAAAGGCAAAAAGTCAGCAAAATTTAGGGTTCCTGATAGTCTCAAAGCCTCAAGGACAGTAGCTCTAAGAGCCAAATCGTTCTTCGGAGCTCCATACAACATTCTATATATCAACTCCTCAAGGACACCACCAACACTAGCGCCAATATCTACGGCTTGATTAGCTTCCGAAGCAGCCTTCAATGAAGTCATTAGTTTACCTAATTCCTCCTCCCTCAACCATGCGAATGACCTAATTTTTGAAGCACTCATAAGCTCCATGACACATAATTTTCTCGCTTTTTGCCAATATGAACTATATGGTGTGAAAATAATTCCCTTAGAATTATATGAAAGGTCATGAGAAACCTCGGACATAGGCCTTGTAAGGATTAAAGTGTTCAACTAACTTGCAATCAACCCACAATAGCAATGAACAAACAAGCATAACAATCAAGAACAACTTTGAAGGAATTAAAGCAAGTAAAAGGAAGACAATGTTACCGTGGGAAAACCCGAGAACCGGGAGAAAAAACCCACCCTTGCACTATGGAGTAATATTGATGATGAATGAATTCAAGAATTACAAGCATGAATTGTGTAGAATTCAAATGCTCCTCACAAACCCTCTCAAAACCTCTCTATGTGTTTAAATGTTTGTGAATACTCAACAAAGAGGCTTAGAAAAGGTATATATAGTCTAGGTAGAAAAATACAATCTAACGGCTAAGATTAAAACAAATCGCACAAGCCGAAAACGAAGCGACGAAATAGGGAGCAGGGAGGTTCGGCCGAACCTACCCAGAGTTCGGTCGAACCTGGGGTGGTTCGGTCGAACCTCCTTGGGTTTGGTCACTCCTCCTCTAGAAATGAAAACTGGTGCACCTACTGACTTAAAACCGGGTTCGACCGAACTTTTCACAAGTTTGGTCGAACCTTAACAATAAGGCAGCTTCTATGCAATCTCCTTATGTCTCCATGTATTTATCTATCTCCACACTAATCCTAACAATCTCCCACTTGGAGATAGGATCAAACATGCACCATAGACTACCACATACACACTCCTTCCTCAAGAACACTTAATACATTCATCAAAACAATTTCACCATAGCACAACACTCCTTCAAATTAATGATGGAGTCCAATTGAGGTCCTACACAACCTCAATTTGTCACTAGAAACAGCTTTAGTGAGCATATCCGCCGGATTCTTTGAACCGGCAATCTTCCTCAAACACATCGTGCCATCCTTCACCAAACTCCTAGTATAGTGATAACGCCTCTTGATGTGTTTAGTGCGATAATGAAACATAGGATTCTTATCCAATTGAACCGCACTTTGGCTATCACTATACAACGCACAAAAATCTTGTTTCATGCCCATTTCTTCAAGGAAACCATTCAACCATTCCATCTCCTTTCCCGCTTCCGACATAGCCACATACTCGGCTTCCGTCGTAGACATAGAGACACACTTTTGGAGCTTGCTCATCCAACTAATGGCCGTACCACCAATAGTATACACATACCCCGAAGTGCTTTTGCTTGAATCATAACATCCTCCAAAATCGGCATCAACAAAACCTTCCAAAACAACTCCATTTCTCCTAAAGCAAAGAGCCATACTTGAAGTACCCAACAAATACCTTAATAGCCACTTCACGGCTTCCCAATGTCTCTCACCCGGATTTGACATGAACCTACTCACAACTCCCACTGCGTGAGCAATGTCGGGCCTCGTGCAAATCATAGCATACATCATGCTACCAACGGCCGAAGCATAAGGAACAATGGCCATTTTGTCCTTCTCTTCCCTTGTCTTTGGGCAATCCTCCTTAGTCAACTTGAGCTCACTTGAAAAAGGTGAGCTTCGAGGCTTTGCATCAATCATGTTAAATCTTTTAAGCACCTTGTTGACATACTCCTCTTGAGATAACTTCAACACACCCGTTGAGCTATCCCTAGAAATTCTCATGCCAAGTATTTGCTTGGCCTCACCCAAGTCTTTCATCTCAAATCTTCTTGACAACTTCTTTTTCAAGTCATTGACAATTTCCATACTAGTTCCCGCAATCAACATATCATCAACATACAAAAGCAAGTAGATATAGCCATTGTCATACCTTTGAAAGTAGCAACAATGGTCACCTTCCGCTCTCACGAAACCATTGTCTAGCATGAAATTGTCAAACTTCTTGTACCATTGTCTAGGAGCTTGTTTCAACCCATATAGACTCCGTTTAAGCTTGCACACCAAGTTCTCTTGACCCGGAACTTGAAACCCTTCCGGTTGCTTCATGTAGATTTCCTCCTCCAAATCACCGTGTAAAAACGCGGTTTTTACATCCATTTGCTCAAGAAATAAGTCCTCCGAAACCACTATAGCCAACAAGATCCTTATAGTGGTTAGCTTCACAACCGGAGCAAAGATCTCATGATAATCAATGCCCTCCTTTTGTGAAAAACCTTTCACCACAAGTCTTGCCTTGTACCGAATTGTACCATCCGGTGCTTCTTTCTTTCGAAAGATCCACTTGCACAAAAGTGCTCTCTTTCCCTTAGGCAACTCAACCAGCACCCAAGTGTTGTTTTTTCTCCAATGAAGACATCTCATCTTCCATTGCTTGCTCCCACTTCAACGAGTCACCCATGCCCATTGCCTCTTTATAACATTCCGGCTCACCGGAATCCGTCAACAACAAATAATGCAAGGATGGAGAATATCGGTGTGGTGGCTTGATTGTTCTTGATGATCTCCTCACCGTTGGTGGTGTAGATGGCTCTCCATGAACCACAACGGGCTCACCCATAACTACTCGCTCATCCGTTTCCAAGTGATCATCATCATCCGAATCACTTGAATCCGAATCCACCGGAACATGAGCACCATGTTGAGGAGATGCTTGTTGAATTTGCACCTCAACTTCTACCTGTTCAACTTCCTTATCACTTCTAACCTTACCATCTAGCTCAACAAATTCCCGCTCATCTTCAATTGATTCTTTCTCAACGGATTTCCCACCAAAGTTGTCTTTGTACAAAGAGCTCTCATCAAAAGTGATGTCACAATGCCTAACAATCTTTTGATTCTTAGGATCCCACAATCTATAACCGTATTTCTCACATCCATACCCGATGAAGTAACATTTGATGGCTTTTGGGTCTAGCTTGTCTCTCTTTTCGGATTGCAAATAGGCCACACAACCAAAGGTCTTCAAGTGAGTGTAGGACACCTCCTTACCACTCCACTCCTCTTCCGGTATCTTGAATTCCAAAGGTACCGAAGGTCCACGGTTTATCAAGTAAGCCACGGTACTAACGGCATCCGCCCAAAAACATTTTGGGAGGCCCGCAAACAACCTCATACACCTCGCCCTCTCAAGTAAGGTCCTATTCATCCGTTCCGCTACCCCATTTTGGCGAGGTTTACCGGGAATGGTCCTCTCCAAAACAATACCATGCTCCTTAAAAATGTTTTTGTAAGCTTCCAACTCATACTCTCCTCCATTGTCAGACTTGATTGCCTTAATCTTCTTGCCCAAAACATTTTCAACCTCCGCCTTCCAAGTCTTGAACTTCTCATTCACTTCCGACTTGTGCTTCATGAAATATACCCATACTTTCCGGGTTGAATCATCAATGAAAGTGACAAAATAGTGAGAACCACCAAGGGACTTGATGAGGTATGGGCCCCAAACATCCGTGTGCACAAGTTCTAGCTTCTCCTTCTTCAAGGACCGTTTGGTTTTTGTGAAAGACACCTTCTTTTGTTTCCCAAAAACACATGTCTCACAAAATTTCATGTCGATTGATTTCAACCCCGACAACTTACCCTTTGAAGCTAGCAATTTCATCCCTTTCTCACTCATGTGACCAAGCCGAGTATGCCAAAGCTTAGTCTCATCATTTGCGGGGTTGTAGCAATCATGCTTTTACACCCTAAGGTAGTGTACAATGTGCCGGTCTTCGTGCCCCGAGCCACCACCATAGCTCCCTTTGACACCTTCCAAGTACCTTCACCAAACATGGTTCTAAAACCGCTTGAGTCTAGTTGACCCACCGAAATCAAATTTTTCCTTAGCTTAGGTATGTACCTAACATCTTCAAGCTTCCATGAGCTCCCACTTGAAGTCTTGATCATAACATCTCCCTTCCCCACAATATCCAACGGTTCATCATCCGCAAGGTACACCTTTCCAAACTTGCCACTCTTGAAGTTTTGGAAAATCTTCTTACATGGAGAAGAATGAAATGAAGCTCCCGAATCAAGGATCCAAGACTCAATGGGACTATCAACACTCAAGATCAATGCATCACCGATTTCATCGCTTGATGCCAAGCTAACCGATGAACTAGCATCATCGTGGTTCTTGTGGTTTGAACCACCCTTCTTCTTGGGATTAGGACATTCCCTCTTAGTATGCCCTTTCACACCACAACCCCAACACACAATGTTCACCTTCCCTTTCGACTTACTCCTCCCTCTAGACTTCGATCTTCCTCTTTGAGCACCTCTTTGTTGTCTTCCACGTCCCCTACCTTTACTAGAATAAGCACCACCCGATGAATCACCCGAGTTCTTCCTTCTCAAGCTCTCACTCAAGATTAAGTCCCTCACATCATCACACTTCAACTTCGACTTTCCGGAAGAGTTGCTAATGGAGGCTACAACGGTATCCCAACTTCTAGGCAACGATGACAACAAGATCAAGGCCCTCACTTCATCATCAAACTTAATCTCAACCGAAGCTAGTTGAGAGATTATTGAATTGAATTCATTTATATGTTCGGGGGCGGAACCACTATCATTCATCTCAATTTCAAACAAACGACGCATCAAGAACACCTTGTTCATAGCCGATGGCTTCTCATACATATTGGACAATGCTTTGATCACACCAACCGTCGTTGTCACATCTTTGACATTGTAAGCAACACTCTTAGCCAATGTCAATCTAATCACTCCAAGGGCTTGTCTATCCAATACTTTCCACTCCTCTTCCTTCATACCCGATGGTTTACTAGTAAGGGGCAAATATAGGTTCTTTTGATACAAATAGTCCTCTATTTGCATCTTCCAAAACCCAAAATCCTTCCCATCAAACTTCTCAATTCTCAACTTGCCTTCTTCCATTGCAAATCAAACACACAAAGTTCACAATAGGTTTTCAACAACAAAGAATGCAACTTGACACCCAAAACTCAAACTTTGAACACCTAAAGTTCCAAACTTTGAAACTCAATCACAATTTCAAGTTTAACACAAACCCTAAATCATCAAAACACCAAAGATTCAACCTTGGCTCTGATACCAATTGTAAGGATTAAAGTGTTCAACTAACTTGCAATCAACCCACAATAGCAATGAACAAGCAAGCATAACAATCAAGAACAACTTTGAAGGAATTAAAGCAAGTAAAAGGAAGACAATGTTACCGTGGGAAAACCCGAGAACCGGGAGAAAAAACCCACCCTTGCACTATGGAGTAATATTGATGATGAATGAACTCAAGAATTACAAGCATGAATTGTATAGAATTCAAATGCTCCTCACAAACCCTCTCAAAACCTCTCTATGTGTTTAAATGTTTGTGAATACTCAACAAAGAGACTTAGAAAAGGTATATATAGTCTAGGTAGAAAAATACAATCTAACGGCTAAGATTAAAGCAAATCGCACAAGCCGAAAACGAAGCGACGAAATAGGGAGCAGGGAGGTTCGGCCGAACCTACCCAGAGTTCGGTCGAACCTGGGGTGGTTCGGTCGAACCTCCTTGGGTTTGGTCACTCCTCCTCTAGAAATGAAAACTGGTGCACCTACTGACTTAAAACCGGGTTCGACCGAACTTTTCACAAGTTTGGTCGAACCTTAACAATAAGGCAGCTTCTATGCAATCTCCTTATGTCTCCATGTATTTATCTATCTCCACATTAATCCTAACAGGCCTCTTTGCACAAAGTACATCGTGATGCCTAAGAAGGCGCTCCGCCTTGTGGCGAGGAGATCACAATGACGTCCATGGAGCCAAGCTTTAAGTGCATGATAGGTCCATATTTTTTGGCTAAGTTTTGGAAGCTACGATGAGGGAGGCTCCCTACTAAGTGAAGATGTCCTATGATGGGTAATTTTGGTGGGCTAGGAGGTAATTTTGGTGTATTCAATGATTTTGATGAGGGCGTAATCGTAATTTTATGTTTAAGTAGTTGCAGAAGTGATCTCCATGAAGCCATTAGGCCAAGGAGAAATACAACGATGGTAATACCAAGGGACCACATTATTATTGCTGTTTATGTTATACTAACAAGAGTATCTTTTTTTTTTTGACAGTGAACAAGAGTATCTTAATCGTTTGATCTCTTGGATTATGAATCATATCCGTGATATTCTGGACCAAGGTATTTATAGTCAAAAAACCAATTACAAAACATGTGAACTGTTGATAAATAAATGGTATATAATATAATTTAAACACTAGTTATATAAAACAATGGTCCCAATATAAACACTAAGCTAGATGCAATCGATGTTTTATATAATTTAATCTGTAGTTATAAAAAACAATGGTCCCAACATAAACACTAGATAGATTAAATCAATTTACAATTAATAAAATACCCAAAATAAGGACAATTAACCAGATTAATAAATAAAAAAAGACCCCTTCAAATAAATAATACCCATGAAAAGTCTACAACATTGTATAACTATTTATGCACTTGCAATGAATTATACGAGTAGAATACGTAGTGGGGCCGCGGGACCTTACCAGCCTTGACATATGAACAAGGAATCCCGTCCTTAACGGGATGGCTGCATAAACGAAATTGTTGAGTTGACTCCCTTAGTATTACAAACAACATGTTCCGGAGTAGGAGCAAAGGGATTGAAAGTCTTGATGAATAAGCAAGCTTTCAAGAAAAAGATCAAAGTCCAGTCTTAGATTCCCTGTAAGCATTGGAGTATTAATATGTAGAGGAACTCAATAAAGAATCTTATGTTTCTTAAGGAACTTAATGTCTTAATCAGGAAAAGATTTTAACGTAAAGTTTAAATCAGTTTTAAAGTCCTTGAAATAAGGATAGAATAAAATCAGTTTTGAAAAGATATATTTTGCAAATAAATAAAAGATAAATATTCTTTAATTTAAAAGATAAGTTTATTATTTTTAAATTAAATAATTATTTAAATGTTTTATCTTTTTTTTTAAAAAAATAAATAAATATTTTTTAAGAATTATCCTTCTAACTGATTTTTGACCCAATAAATTTGGCTGCCTAATTTCAAGGAGTCACGTTGAAGTATGGAGAAGAAAGTCAGGGAGATCCACTTCCCACTTCCCACTTCCTATCCAACGTTCTTAACTTCCAAAGTTAAGGTAGAACATGGTTAATGGGAGGAGTTGGAGGAAAGATTGAGACTTTCCTTCTCTCTATAAAAAGCTATCAACGAATCTAATTTAAGTGTGGAAAAACAATTTTGTAATTGGGACTGGGGTTTGTGAGAGTTGTAATTGTGAGGCTTGAGTGAGTCTATCACAAAGTATAAGTGATTCAGAGTCGAATCACAGAGAGTGTAAAGCTACGGTTGAGGGATCGTAGTTGAGATACTTGAGTTCCTAGAGGATTTTAAGTGTAGGCTGAATATTCACAGTTGTAAATGAGTTTTTGCATAGTGAAATAATTCGAAAAGCCATCTCGTGTGTTCTCTCCTTTTATACTTAGTTTAATTTCCGCATAAAGTTCATAAATTTTTATAAACTACAATTCACCCCCCTTCTTGTAGTAGACATCATTCTAACAGAAATTATGTTAATAGAATATGTAAGGAATTAACCAATTATCATGCAATACAAGAGAGGGGAAGAGGGGGGAAGCATCCCACTTGGGAAATGACATTTGTGGACGTTATTTGGACCTTATCTTTATATTGTAGTAGCTAGTATGAACATTTAACACAATTACCCATTAGTCATCAATCACACGGTTGTCATTATATTTATAAAGTTGGTTAGGACCCTAAGGTTTTCCTCAAAAAAAAATAAGGACTAAGGAGTGTTCAATATAGGGATGTGTACATAAATCTAATATAAAGGGGAGTTTTTTCCGGAGTTTTTAGAGAACGGATAAAAATTTCTTAACGCGCCAAGTAAGATTCTAAATTTTAGTGACAACCAATCGAATAAGAGATTTGTAATTCTATAGAATTAAATAATTCAAATGCCACATAAACAAAATTGGCGAATGAGATTTTAATGTTTAAATTAATTAAATATAATATATTATCTTATGAAATTAGAAATATTATCTAAATATAAAACGAATGAGAGGAAATTCACAATTTATTTTAAAATAAAATTTTTTGTCACATAAATATATTAGATTTGTTTTTAAAAATGCAAATAAACCGTGCATTGCACGAGCTTCACCTATTATGATATTAGGTTAGATCCCGTGTCATGCACGGTTTTTCACTCTTTATTAAGGAGTATCAGTTAAAAACTATATTTAAATATAAAAATTAATTTGGCCTAAAATCTATTTATTATTTATCTCAATTTTTTTTTTGAGGAAATGTTATTTACCTCAAATCAAGCAACTAAAAATATTTTTATTTTTTATTTTTTATCTTTTATGACTATATACCATGTTTATTTTTTTATTTAAGCTTTCTTCTATTTTGAGCCCTAATGGCATTTTTTTTTAAATTTCACATTTGATAGTGTTTCAGTCACAAATTATATTAGGCTAAAAGATATATATTCATGATTTTTTTACCATAAATAATCATTATACATTAAAAAAGTAATTACTTATATTGGAATTTATATAAAGATATGGTCGGATATCTAAGTTGATAAATATATTATTTTATGATTTTTTCCAAAAGTTTGAAACAAAAAATATTTATTTTGCGTATATTCTCTATCAATTTTTTTAAAAGTTTTTTTTTATTAAAAAAAATATACTAAGGAAACATGAGAAGATGACATGTGTCATTGCTGGTGTGTCTTTTAGTATATAGTTATTAGATGCAAGCCCGTGCGATGCACGGTTTTTTCATCTAAGATTTTTAATTATTTGATTTATTGTATTTAATAATTTCAGACAAAATTACAAAAGTTTAATATTTATTTATTTTTACTATAATTCATAATGAATTTATTAAATATAAATAAATTGTAAATATGATATTTTTTCCGTTATATAAAATCTTTAATGTGAAATGATAAATTTATAATAATTTAAATCCTAAATCATTATTCATTGTTTTACCATATCTTTTATTTCGACAGAATCACCAACCTCGTCCACAACCAACGTACTACATCAATGGATAAATTGAACCGTGAAATGTTAGCCAAATTGAAATTGATATAAATTAAATATTTACATTTATATAAAATAAATCAATATATTTACCAATAAATGAAAAATTGTTGCTATATAAAATCAAATCTATGCATTGAAATTTTTTCATCATCTCCAAAAATAACCAAAGCCACCCATATATTAAGTATACAACACCTAATCGTATGTCATTACATAAGCAAATAATCATTAAGTATCCTAAATAAATACAATGTAACTAACAATTACAAATATAAATTTAAACATAAGATTTTAAAAATTACCCGAACGTTGATGACCCAAAACTAACACAAAATTCGCTTGATGGGGTTTTGTATTAACACGAAATCTTATTTGTGTCGTATGATGTGTTAGATCTGCATGTAAAAACACATTTAGTAAATAAAACATAAACATATAATCGTTGAGTATCCCAAATTAATACAATGTAAATAATAATTAGAAATACTAATTCAAACATAGGATTTTAAAAATTAAGCTAAAAATTACCCGACCATTGATGACTAAAATTAACACAAAATTACTAACACAAAATTCGCTTGATGGAGTTTTCTAATGATAGGAAATTTTGTTTGTGTCGTATGATGTGTCAATTTATAATGGTAGGTATCACAAATTTTAATTTAATTATAATTAACGAACAATTTGTATTTCTTATCATAAATACTATCAAAATTTATCTTATAATGATAGGTATCAAACGTTATTATAAATGTTTATCATTTAAATATTTTAAATATTTCTTAATTTATTTTTTTGGATTTCTTATACTCGTAGTATTGAATTAATAAAATTTATCTTTTCCTATATTTTTACTTTATTTTTTTCATTAAAATAATTTAATTCGTATCTACGTGGCATTAAAATTTTAGATATATCAAATCTAATTCGTTACTTTTATTTAGGTGGCGACATAATTTTTTAATTCAAAAATAAAATACAAATCTTTTTCTTATTGGTCGAAATAAGTATATTTCTTACGTGGCGCTCCGAATGCTCTCAAAAAATGCCTACTTTTTTTTATATATATTAGATTATTATTGATTGATGATTATGAGAATACTATCATACAATATATTAATTATTGTAATACTAGGAGTCTTATATTATGAAAAGAAATATAAAGATATTATTGTGATGTTATATTGTGATAATATTCAGGATAATATCTTGTGAAAAGATAAAATGTGAGCTATTTGTGATATATTTAGATTGTTAAGATATTTAGGAATATTAGGGTTAGATATTCCTATTGTCTATATTTTGCAATGTGGCTGCACATTATGAATGGGAAAAATACAATGGAAAAATAGAAAGAGAAATAATTTTCCCAAAATTTAACATGATACCAAAAGCCTAGGGAGATTTAGGATGAAAAACATCGAGAGTTTTGTGTGGGAGAATGAGAGAACCTTAAACACGAGAGTTCATGTGGGAGGAAAGAATGAAAAAAAAAAAAAAAACTTAATCACGAGAGTTCATGCGAGAGGAGATGATGAAAAACACGAGAGTTCGTGTGAGAGAATGTGAAAAACCTTAAACACTGGAGATCGTGTAAGAGAGGAGAAGAAAAAAATATGACGGATTCAATAAGAATAGTGTTCTCGTTGTATTGATATATTTGCAGGTTTGAAAAGATTTGAAAATTGCATAGTACACCCGACCCGGGTAAAATTGATGCTTTTGGTGTATTCAATGATTTTGATGAGGGCGTAATCGTAATTTTTTGTTTAAGTAGTTGCAGAAGTGATCTCCATGAAGCCATTAGGCCAAGGAGAAATACAACGATGGTAATACCAAGGGACAACATTATTATTGCTGTTTATGTTATACTAACAAGAGTATTTTTATTTTTTTTGACAGTGAACAAGAGTATCTTAATCGTTTGATTCTCTTGGATTATGAATCATATCCGTGATATGCTGGACCAAGGTTTTTATAGTAAAAAAAACCAATTACAAAACGTGTGAACTGTTGATAAATAAATGGTATATAATATAATTTAAACACTACTTATATAAAACAATGGTCCCAATATAAAC